TTAAAGTACTAAGACAGTGGCTCCTGGCATGCTGTAAGTACTCATTATGATTTACAAAGCACCTACTATGTGACAAATATTAAAGAAATAAGGATGAATAAGAACAAGTGGTTGTCCAGTTCCCAAGGAGTTTACAATCTAGTTAAGGGTGTTGAATATACAAGCAAATAAGTGAACTGTAGTGTGCCAGAGCCAGAGAAAGAGAGAGAGAGCACACACCAATCCACACACACACACACACACTCACACAGCAGATGCAGACATACATGCACACATGGACGCGCTCACACACACGTGTGTGCGACCACTGGCAACGGGTGAGTTACAAACAAGAAAGTGCTCCTTCCCCTTGGAAGAAGGGAAGCCAGGAAAGGCTCAGTAGGGAACCTGATAGCTCAACCCAGTCTTACTGGGTTCGTATTTGCTGGGCAAGAGGGAGCACAAGGATGCCCAGGTGCTTAAGGAGTGTGAGAAGAGGCATAAAACAACATTTATTCACTCAACAAATATTTATCAAGTGCTTCCCTCATACTTGGCGCAGCATTAAGTACTGGGATACAGCAGTTGACAACACTGATGGGGTTTTTGCTTTCACTGAGCTAATTTTCTCATAGAAGAGATGAACAATAAACCCAGTAAGCAAGTAATAATCCAAAGAGAAAACACAGTGGGTAAGATGGCTGGAGTGAGGCTGGGGATCGGTTGCCCGAGTAGCATGTGGAGTGTGAGACGTGTGAGCAGAGCCCAGGGGACACCAACCCCCACCTCTCTGTTATCCTTTTCCCTGAACCTCCTCTAACCCCACTGGGTAGACTTGCCCTCCCACTGTATAGACTTAATATTTTGAGCATGTTTTCCTTCCTTCCAGTGGCCCACAGACTCCGAACTCACCTGCAGGTGGATTGTTCCAGACCCAGACTGGGGACGAGGGAGTGGGAACCCCGTTCTGGGCTCTCCACCTAAGATCCAGCTTCTAACCCAGTTCACTGTTTAGCAGCCACAGAGGTGCATCTTGGCTTCCCTCTGCCCTATTACGCTTGTCTTATTTCTCGGCTGCCTCAGAACTTGGGAAGGGAAGAGAACTCTGATTGTGAAGATAAAAGTTTTTATACGATAAAAACCCTCCCTCCCTCCACACACCTCAAAACTAAATTAGAAACCACTATCCTCATCTATCAAACTTGTCACCTTAATGAAAAATCTTTCAAATCTTTTACTTAATAGCTCCAAAGACATTGCTAGGGGTGTGACTTAGAAGTCTGGCCAGAATGGTATAATAAGGCAAATCCTCCAGAAGCAGTGAGTACTGGAGGATGGGACGAGGAATGGGATGTGCTTGGTGCCAGTGTCGAACCTAGAGCACACAGGTCATGGTCAGTAGCCAGAAGGAGGAAGCTTGAAGCCTTCAGACATTCTTAGCTTTTTAAAACCATGTTAGAAAAAGAATCACTTGAATTTTTCTTTGCAGAATTTAAAGGCGTTTTCAACATATTTACACATTTGCTTCACAACCTCCTTATGAGGCAGGATGGGATTCTAACGTTATCGGCAAGAAATATTAATGGCCTGGTTACTATCTACGGGACTCAGCGCTGAGCATGAGGGAGATTTAAAAAAAAAAAAAAAAGACAAAGAATAAGATACATGGTCCCTGACCTTGAATGCCTTACCCTCTTATCTAGAAAGACTGCTCAGAGCCCCCAAAGCATTATGGATCAAAAAAGGAAACACAAGACACATGTCAAATAGATGGCAAAGATTTTTTAAAAATGCTCCAGGAGTCGAGGGGAGGGAACATCTGTTGAAATCAAGAGTGATTACAATGGTTTCGTGGAGGAGTTTATAGACAGGAGAACATCAGAGAAATGTTAAAAATCCCAACTACACACGCTGGAGAAACTGGCACCAGAAACCGCACTTCTGGTAGAAGCTCCTAGAATGCGTCCCGCATCTCTTTGCACAGTCCTCCTGTGCCTGGCACCCCGGGATCGCATCCTACCGTGGCTGAGTGTCTCCTAAATCTGAGAAGGACATCAAACGCCACCCACCGCAACGCACAGGAAGTGCTCTGCCCGCCGTGCCATCCTGACTTTGCCACCGGGATGATGAGAAGCGCAGACTCTGCACCGACTCTCCTCTGCGGAGCCAGGCAGGGCCTGCCAGCTTTGCTGGCACGATCGGGCCTGCAGAATTGTACTGCACACATTGCCAGGCCCCGAGCCTGAAGGGCACAGGAAGCCAGTGTTCAGAGCAGGGACGGTGAGTAATGATTACAAAGTCCTCACCCTCTGAAGGAGGCGTAAGGCCGGCCAGGAGGAGGAAGAAATGAAAGGGGCATCTGGGCTGTGCGAGTCCTGCCCGGGATACACCGGCTGCCACAGTCATTATATTTTTTTCTGGCTGCGTAGACATGTTGCTATGGAACCAATACATGCCATTGCGACTTGGCCTCTAGCAAAGAAAATCACATCACTGGCAAGAGCATTTCCCTAGATTTCCCTTAAAGGGATACCATCGAGGGAGCACTGTTCTAGCTCAGAAACAACAGCAGTATTGTTCCAGGCTGCAGTCCCCCGCGGTCCATGAAATGGAGCCTAGCGACTCAGGTTTTAGGAGGCGTTCATACATGTGGCATGTGGGCCTACATGGTACGAACCCCAAGTTTGGGGAGCAGTCTCTGAGCTGCTTTTTCAGTAAGAAATGCGTGGCCTGGGCACCTGGGTGGCTCAGTCAGTTAAGCATCTGCCTTCAGCTCAGGTCATGATCCCAGGGTACTGGGATCGAACCCCACACTGGGCTCCCTGCTCAGTGGGGAGTCTCCTTCTCCCTCTGCCTCTCCCCGTGCTTGTGCTCACTCTCCCTCAAATAAATACATAAAATCTTTTTAAAAAAAGAAGGGAGAGAGAGAAAGAAATGCATGGCTTCAGTTTGTGTATAGTGTCCCTGCAACTGGTAAAAGCAAACAGTCTGGAATACGTGGAGGTCATGACTTGCTGCCTCCTGACTGTCAACTTCAAACTACTCATGACCCCAGCCGGAACCAAAGTCGCCCCGAGTGGCTGGCACACATCCAGGTGGCCCGGACTTTACTTCTCTTGCTTCAGGCCTCTCTAGCAGTTTCTTCTTTACTAAGTGAACAGGACGAAGCAGGACGTGAGATCTGGCCCTTCCCTCCTTGCAGAGGCCCTAAATTGTCCTTTTAGTCTTTATCAATCTCCTCATTCCAGAGACTCTGAGCTTCTCCAGAGAGCAGAAGAGCTCACGTCCCACATCGTACTATGGTGTGCTCTGGGAATAAATGTTTTGGGCTTTTCTTGGATAAGATGAGTAAAGGGAAACCCCAAAGCTCACCCAAACACACATTCATGCACACCACGCACTTGGGGAGGGGAGGGTCTGTATCAGAATAGGAAGCAGCCGACTGCCGGTAACTTAGCAATCCATGGGCTCCTGGGTGGCTCAGTGGTTGAGCATCGGCCTTTGGCTCACGGTGTGATCCCGGGATCCTGGGATCGAGTCCCAATACACTGGGCTCCCCACAGGGAGCCTGCTTCTCCCTCTGCCTATGTCTTTGCCTCTCTCTGTGTGTGTCTCTGATGAATAAATAAATAAAATCTTTAAAAAAATACACTAAGTTGACAAGTGGGATAAAATAACAGACACAGGCTCTCAATACCATACTTAGACCAGCCCCAGGTGATATGAAATGTTTTGGAAATGAGTGCACGTAGCTCGCCAAACTAAATGAACATGATCCAGAGCCAGCTCTAGCACAGGCATCCTTGAAAAAAACCACAGATAAGCCCACCTTCTAGGATTCCAGCGGACGATCAGACTCTCACACTTCCCTCCTTCATGCTCTACAAACACACTCTCATGTAAGAAACAGTACATTTTTTTTTTAAATGAAGAAATGCTTCTCTGTAACCCTCTGTGACGGCAGGTCAAATTTGTACTGCATCATACGGAAGCTGTTAGGCGTGACTCTGCAGGTGCACACAGTCCCGAGTGGGGGCATGTGGGTCTGCAGCTGGCCATTACACACACCTGCAGGTGCGGCATGGCTTCTAGCTGCAAAACAGATGCACCACCCTGTCTGGGCATGTGACACGGAACTTGGCAAATGCAGTGGTTTGGGAAGCGCAAAGGAAAATACGCTCTCTTAGAGGAGGTCTGTAACAGAAGTGTTCTGGGTCCATCCACTCCACCCACCCCTCCTGGTTGTAGCCAAGTAGGATTACTGGAAAGTTAACTAGTTAAACAGCATCACTCTGATGCATGCCGTGGAGGGATGTTATCAGGTCAAATCACCTACAGCTCTGCATCCTGAGAAAGAAATGGGACTCAAAAGACAGCTCTGTGCAGCGTGGGGGGAGCAGGGAAGACCACCACGTGTCTGGGAGTCAAGTGCCTCTCAGCATCCCAGCTCCGTTGCTGTCAGAGAAGCCCCCAGACAGGTGATACGAGGCCCTCTGGGCCTCAGCTGCCCCATCCATACAGAGGGGCTTTGCCAGATGGGCTCTAAAGTCCCATCTAATGCTCACATCCTATTACTCTGTCATGATATTCGCGAGACGGTGTGTCATAGGAGCAAAACGGATGGTTTCTCCTTGCCCATGGCTATATTTCTGTGCATCAGTCACTGAAGAAAAAGAGAAACTTTCTGTCTCATCCTCCCTGCAAGCTGGACAAGGTATGAGCAACAACAGTAATAATTCATCAGAGGCAAAAACGTGTGTATAGCAAAAAGAAACAGCAGAAAAATATAAGAGAGAAACCTTCCCTTCTGAAGGGAAGAGATGTGAGGGGTAGAAAGAACATTTTGGTTCCAAGTGGGAGAAAGCTACTAGAGAACGCAAGCTATCAAGCACTTTTCTTGAAGCTTCACAAGAAATGGATAAAATATTGATGTGAAAATACATATATTTTATATGAAATGATATATATAAAAGACATAAAAGATAACGTAAAAAAAATAGAAGAGTCCAAGGATCACTCACCCTATGAAAACAGCAGACTGGTTTCTTTTCACCCAGAAGAAGGACTAATTTCTTTGGAAAACTGGAAGAGAAAGAGATTTTTAAATAAACAACATGAAATCTATACTTCAGGTCAGCACAGGAAGGCAGGCCTAGCGATTATAAACAATCCCAGCTCCCGGCCACTTTGGCACTTAGTAGGTACACAGTACATGTCTGATGGGTGGTTAGACTTGCAATTGCTTGGCCAACTGCATGAATTTTGAAAACAGAGCTTTGAACATTCAATATGTAGAAAGTAATCCTGTGCACGATTCCTTGATTACAAAATACAAGAACCTTATGACAAAGGAGGGTATATAGCCAGGTCTGGGAAATCATTTATCAGGTGGATCTTTCAAAATGCGTCTGCAGCCCCATGTGAGGATGCTTTAGTAAGTACCCAGCGTACCCCATGACTGCCCTGTGCCCTTTCCTCACCTTCCCCACCCCAAAATGGTACACCTACAACTCCACGCACACCCTGCTGAGGTCAGTGACCTCACAGGGATCTGTAATAGGGCTCATAGGGGGATGTGGACTTGGCAGAGAGGCACCAGGGGCCACATATCACGCCGACTGGGTAATCTCGTGAGGAGCCACGGTGTTTGGGATCAAGTGTGGGAAAGAACAGAGATGATGTGAATGTTGGAAGCGGAAGCCTGAAAGACAAAGAGAGATAAGGGGGTGACAGCAACAGATTGTGTAATCTACATCACAGAAGGAACTCATCTCAAGATCCAAGTTTTTAAAAATTTCCAGAGACTGTTTTAAAGACGCCTTTGCAGGTTTAGGAGGGGATGTGAGGTGGAGCTGGTATAGCTCCAGAGACTGGCAAACTTCACATGATCCCAGAGCATTCGGGATTAAGTCTATGCGGGCTGTAAGAAGACCACTTGATGTGGTTCTGCCTCCTGCGAAGTTCACAGTCTCACTGAAAACACTTACAGGGTAACAACACAGGAGCAAAAGACGGTACATGCTGGTACAGTCTCTGAGCACCTTCTTTTTAAAGCAACACTTTATAATCTGCGCACAGACATTAACCTTTTCATCCTAACGGCAGCAAGATGTCTACAGTAAGAACCACAAAGATCAGAAATGCTAATTTCAGACCCGAGTCTGCATCTCAGCTCAGGTGCACATCCAGTGGTGGCACTCAAGATATAAACTCTCAAAACGCTTTCCTCAATGGCAATACGAATACCCACGTCGTATCAGTTTCACATTCTTATTTCAGGTGCTTGACCCATAGGAGAGACTTGGGGAAAGAAAAAGCTCTCATGCCATGTGGCACAAAATGTTTCTAGGTCTGCATGAATCCAGAATACACAGGAGAGATTTTTATAATTTCATAACTTGTGAGATTGTGAGTACCTGTATTGTCTTCTCTTTTTCCCCAACCCCTCAAAAGTAGATGAGTCAAATGATAGCACAGCAAAACATCTACTGTGAACAATTAGATGATATACATGAGGAAGCAATCCAAAGAAGACAAGTCAGCAAGCCCCACCAATAATCCCTATGAACATATTGGTGTATATGGCTCTAGTTTCTCTCCTACAGTCAGGTACACAGAGTTTATTATTATACGTGTCCTTATATAAATAAAATTGCATACATACATTTATTTGTGATATACAATGATGTTACATATTGTATGTAATTCATACTGTTTGGCAGTCTGATAATATCTTACTTGTTATATTACAAACCTCTTTTAATATCAATAAATCCATCTCCATCATCATTCTTTTCTTTTAAAGACTTTATTTTTTAAGTCATCTCTACACCCAACATGGGGTTGGACTCACAACCCCAAGGTCAACAGTCACATGCTCTACTGAATGAGCCAGCCAGGTGCTCTTCTGTCCTAATTCTTAAAGAACTACAAGACTCCTTCATTGAAAGAATGAACCACTAAATAAACAGTTGTTGAATTTACAGAGTCTACCAACATGCCCCAGGTTTTTGAGAAATGACCACATGATAGCACATGGTTTTCTTCTACATTTTTGTCAAGGCTGAAGAAGGCAAAGTGAAATAAATATCAGAAATCTTAACAACAAAAAAAAACTATTGGTTTGTGTGGGTGTCCCTTAGAATACAAACTGGCATTAACCCCACAGGCAGTATCACAAATGACAATATTCACTGAGCTTCCAATATATTGGAAGAGGACAACATATTAAAGCCTAGGGCTAATGGTAGCTAGAGATGCCAACACTCGAGCTATGAAGTCCTAAGTGTGAAGTTACAGGAGTGTCCTGTGTTGAGTGTGATCATGGAACAAAGTTACCTAATGATAGAAAGGTAAACTGAAAATTGTAGAGTCTTGAGCAATTTTAAAAATTATCATTGCATTACACAAACTTTAAAAAACCTAAAAAAAAAAATCGGGATTTGCCATATTAGAAAACATAAGAGGTAGAATGTTTGTGCAGCCTCAGTATTTCTAATCTAGTTCCCTTCTCGAAGGGAATGGTTGATTTGCTAACACATATGTGATACAGTTTTGCTTGAGTTGCACGACACAACCTTATCCTCGATTGAGAAAATCGTGCCGTACCTCAAAATGTGACTGACTAGCAACATTTCAGGAAAATACCACTTTGGGTAGGGGGGAGGCTGAGGGAGTGAATGTATCCCCACAACCTGCAAAGAGCGTGGGGCTAATTCCTCCTCCAGTTAGGAATGTAATTGACCCTTTCTAAGTATTACCAACACTGCTTGGACAAGCAGGGAGCAGCAGAGAAAGGTAGGACATAACTGTGGTGTCAGAGAAATGCCATATCAGTTACTGACTGGAAAATCCCATAGGGACCAAAAGTGGAGAAACAATGGAGAGAAATGTTAACAGTTTGGTTTCTGAAACAGCGAATGGACAGGTGATAACCCCTTCGCATGCTACCTTCCAACAAAAGTTCCCTGAAAATCGACCCCTCGCCCAGGGGATTCAAGTTTCAGGGGAAGTGACAGTCTGAGGAGTCACTCGGTCTCTTGGAAGAGACTTCTGCTGCTCTCTTTGGCCCACGTGGAATAGTCAGCATTAGGAGGTAAGAACACAGACCTTAAATGTTAGCACTGGATAGAATCAGAGAAATATCTCAACAACTCACACCAGGGACTGTATGTCACAGAAACCGAACTGGGCTACTCTTCACAGATCTCCTCTGATGGTACAATTCAGGAGTGAGGGAGCTGTCCCTAGATCCGACACTGAACTTCTTATAGGAAAGGACATTTTGCTTTGCTTAAAACTCTTCTGGTGGTCAATGCTTCCTCCATGAGAAAGAACCAGATGGGCAGGCTGTGGAGTGTGCTATGCAATGTCTCTTCTATGCAAAGCCAAATGATGCACCTCTCTCTTTAAATTTGCTTTTGAAGGGTCTTTCGTATCTTCTGACAGTGCACATGGATTGGCCCAGAACACATTCTTTATAGCAGACCTGTAGAGCCATGGAAAATTGTGGTTTAAATCCTAGCATCTCTGTCCAATGGTGTGCCCAGCCAGGATATGACCTGGCCAGGAAAACTGTGCTGACACCATATATTCCACACTTACATTTTTTGGACTACTGACTTGGGAAATTTTTGCCTTATCATTGTATAATCGTGTAGTATCATCCTGGGTAACCGCACTGGATTCCTTAATATTGGCTACTAGCACGTACTGAGTGGCTATTGTGTGGCAACAAGATTTCATCTGTCATCTCTTCTCCTCACAAACTCTCTGTAAAATAAGACATATTAGCCTCATTGATCATAAGAGGAAAACAAGGTTCAAGACAAGCAACCTGACCGAAGTTGCAAAACCAGTAACTGATAAAGCAAAAATTCAAAGTGAGGTTTGACTGGGTTTCACAGCCAAAGAGAAAAGAGATGAGCGCCCTGGCACCCTGCATATGGATTTTTATAAGAAAGCTGCAATACATAGCATTCTGTCAAATGCACAAAAAAAGAGCACTTGCTTTCACCAAATAAGCAGATACTCCCTTTGCAGGTTGTTGTATGGGAGTAGCAAGCAAGGATGACCGAACAAAAGTTATCCAGGACATTCCGGGGCGAGCATGGCATTAAATCGTCCAACAGGTGCTAGGCAAGCATTCTCCAGCAGAACAGCAGGATTAAAGTGCTGACAGTTGCAACGACACAAAATGTAGCCTTGGCAAGTTGGTCTAACAATTACTTTGCATCATTCTGATTATGAGCCACAAGCATGCAATCAACAGCATAGAGACGATCTTAAATGATCTCCATCAGCATTTTACTTTACTTATCAAAGCGTGGCAGATGGAACACACTCTGATCTGACCTCAACGCAATGTTAATGACCCAAACACAAAGAATGTGCAGGAGCAATAAGGATGCAAGAGCATTGGCCTTGCTGGGGATCATTGGTTACAAAAGATGCCTTTTATTTCATTCAGTTTTTCCATTTATTACTTCAGAGTAAAAAAAATACTATCTATGTGTTTCTCATCTGATAAATTTATCCACAGTCTAACTCAATTTAAAGATTTAAGTAACTTTACAAATTCCCCAGACTTAATATCGCATGTCATACATACTTCTACAAGGAGCACTTTCCGTCTTCCGTTGTACATTTTTGTGGGTACACATTCCCCGATTGCAGCCCAGCTCTGAGAGCCTGGAATTGACATCATTTATTTCTGTCTTCCCAACCCCTAGCCCAGTGCCCGGCGTATATGGCAGACATTCAAAATATGCAGAAATGAATGAATTCTCATTGGACCGTAAATAAGAAGGCATGCTTACTGAAAGCATGAATGACCCCAAGTTGTTCTGAGAAGTCACTAGTACTTCAAAGAGCAGGATCTGAATTCCAAAACTTCTCTTCAAATTGGAAAGATAATGGTAAACACATACAAAAATTTAGTAGAGAACTGTTCTTAGGGAGTAAAAAATATATATAAATATTAAAAAAAAATACTGCCCTCATATCGACTGAATTAAATCATCTACAAAAAGACCATCCCAAGAGATCTAACCTCAACAGCAAAGCCTGTAACTGAAGAGGGA